GTTTAATTTTAGTTTTACTCCATAAAAACTCTTCTCTTGGTAGGATTAAGGTTCTTGGTGAAGTGATTTGGAAGATTTAAGTGCAAGGTTGCTCCATCTCTTTGGTTACTAAGGTGAGTTGAGAAGGACCCCTCTCCTCCCTCTAATGATGTGTAATTCATGATTGGTGGTTGTATAAGATGCAAATTTATGGATTAAATCTTGATTTTGGTTGAATTGGTGAAGTTTTATAATTATTGGGGATTTTTCTGTTTTCATATGGATATGATTATGGGGTCATGTATGATGATTGGAAATGATGTTTAAGGACTCTATGAGGTGGAAAAAGTGATTAATTGCAACCAATTTCTGTTTTGGACTAAAAATTGAAAAGTGAGGGTTTTGTAGTGAACGACTGAGTCCCGGCGAGAGCTGGGCAGGCGGCCCGCCGAACCCTCTGGTTCGCCTTAGGGGGAGGTGGGGCTGTTACACATACATTCCAGTCAAAGAAGCATTTCAATACATTCAGATCTAAGGTTTGTGCTATCTTACTAATTTTGTCCAGTCAGATGCTAAAAAGACCAGCAGATTGGTGAAACAACACATGAAAAGCAGAAGTAATAGAAAAAAAGCTATACGCTTATAAGAGAAAAGCATACAGAAGTCATTTCCTTGTAGAAACTCCAAGACAGCAGCAGATGCAACTTGAACTGTAAGATCTGCAATATCAACATCATGTCCACCTTGAACCAGACCCCAGCTTTCTACCTGCAAAAGCACCATAAAGCAACAGAGAAGCAAGAGGATAAAAGAAACAACATAAACTAGAACCTGTAAATCTTCTCCTAGTCTAATAAGCTCAATGGCCTCCTCAGTATTCAATCTACCACGAAAGATTCCAATGGTTATAACTAAAGAATGAGCACCAGCTACAGCAATTGCATCAATTGCAACTAGTTCACAATCATTTGTCCTTTTGAGCAGGCCTTCAATGGCTGTTACCAGACCTTCTTCCTGCTTACCACCAGAGAAACTGGAATATACAACAGGTTTATACCCAAACTTCGATTCCAACCATTTAAACACCGGGTCGATCTTCTCAACTTGACGTTCTACAAATTATGTGGACAATTAAGAAAATAGTTTTCACTGCCGAGGAAGATACCTCATCAGAACTAAATGCATGAAATGGTGACATTTACCGTTTGCTCAAAACAAGGGAGAATATACAGGGCATTTACTTGATTCAAGCAACAACCATTCGTCCTCATGTTCAGACATAGCTTCTTACGTGTATTATAAGCAGCAAATCATGGTAAACTTTCAAGAAATTTCTAATGATAACTTTTTCCTGAACAGCTAATCCATCGCATTACTAATATGTAGCAGACAATTCCATGCCATAAATCTTTATTTATATAGTGAAAATTGGCCATCAGAAACATTTTGCAATTGTCTGAGGATGAGAATCCAAGGCTAAAAACAAACATAAAAGCTTTTCACTTGTTTTGACGAAGCACTTTCCCATAGACCATTACGAAGCATCATGTACATAATGGCGTCCTGACTCAAAACAGAACAGGTCTATGTGTTCAAGTGCCAACTAGTGTTAAGAGAGGCTGAAAGGTAATGATTGAGTAAAACAAATTCAAATGTCGAGGTCAAAAAAAGTCAGTAGAATCTTGAGTATGACTGTTTATTGCATTACAGTGATAGTGTTGTAGGTACTTATGTTGCCTTATGAGTCATATCCTTGCCTTGCTTCTCGTTCTTGGGAGGCAGAAGATGAGCAGATAGAGGAATGGTTTGGCAATTGCATTTATGTCGACCAGGAAGAGGTTGAAAAGGAGTGATTGAAGAATAAAAGATAGTCATGAAATATAAGTTAGTAATCAACAAATCTCACCCTGTTAGGTGAATCGGCAAAGGCAAGACAACAAGGGATGTGCACTCAGAAATTCACACATAAAGAGGGATAAGAAAAGAAGGCACCTACTGAAAACACCACCCTTGGTACTTGGTAAGATCATTGTCGGCTGGAGCTCGACAGGAGACCAAATCCTGCTGGAATTTCTTCATAAATTTCTCAGTGATCTTGGGTCGAATAAGTGGAACCCTTTCCAATGCAGTGCATGCATGTTTCGCGAGTGGCATTGTAAAGGGCCTAATTCCATCTGTTTGCTACAATACAACAAGAACTATTTCGTAAATTCAAATAAAGATTGCATTTCCTTTCTACTCGACAAAATAGAGTAAAGATTCACTACAAAATCCAAACTGTGGCTAGAAAGAGGAAGAAGAAGAATGAATTGGAATTAAAAGAAGGAAAGCAATAACCGTTATTACCCCTTTTAAGGGCCGTTTGGAGTTGAGCTTATTAAAAAACATTTCTCATTTGGATCTTTAATAAAAGTACTTATTTACTGCTTGATTACTTTTAAATACATTATTTGGAGGTAATAGTTCAATATGTACTTATTGCATTGGATAATGTATAATTTAAAATTTTTTAAAAGTGTTTATCTATTTATTTAGTTCATAATATAGGATAAAATAATTAGATTTGATGTTTTATTTTTTAAATCATAAAAGCTACATTAAAAGCATCAAATTTAAGTTTTTGCTAAAATTGTTTTTAATACCAAAAGTTTTACTCCTAATTTTATGGAATGATATTCACCAAATACTTTAAAAATATTTTTAGCACCTAAAAGTGTTTTTTTTTTTTAACCAAAAGCACACCAACCCCAGCAGAGCATTCTAGATATTTTCTACAATAATTTTTACTTTTTTTAAGAAATTAATAGTGAGATCTTTGTTAACCAATTAGTATTACCTTTTCTTCTTTTGTAATAAATTCGGGGTGGGATTTAGCATATCAATATTGTTAAACAACGTGAGCGAAGATTGTGTGTTGGTACTAAAATTCATCAAATTAATGAAGAGAGCCACAAAAGACTGTCAAGATTGCCCGTTGGCATAGAAAACTCGTCAAATTATGAAAAAACTCACAAAAATCACTGAATTATTTAAGAGAGCCACAGCACGCAAGTCTAAAGAATTGAGAATAAAACATAAACAAATGTGGAGCAATATTATTTTTAATGATGCAAACTCTTAGACAATTTTTGTTCAATACAATTCATGGGCTACAAAGCCTTTATATACAAATAATAGGGACCAAAGTCTTAACTGTAAATTATTTATAGCCCCCTTTGATTTTATATAATGTCAGATGATCCTCCTAGGGTTTTCAAAATAGCCACATAACCCTCTATGATTTTATGTTAAGCGGAAAATGGACGAAATACACAATCAAATATAGTGTTTATAATAAACACACTCTAAAAGTTCGTATGATAAAATCTTAATCTCCATATAACCCTCTTATAATTTGTATAAATATCCACTTTAATCTCAATGTGATTTTTACATTTATTCACGTAATCCTCCTATACTTTTATATAAGGTAGTTAAACTGTCAATTGATTTAGCATCTAAGTAAGAGTATTATTAGTATGAGTCTGTCTAAAAGGTGCTCATAGTGTACTTGTTAAGATATATTTCTGGTGTCATATTTTTTGAAAATATAAGATTAATTAGGGAAAGTAAATAAATACTAAAAGTAAGGGTAGATAAGATTAAATAGGAAAAGTTTTTATATGCAAGAGAAAGTAATAATTATTAGTATGTGTACATATATGGTAGGTTAATTGAATATTAGGAGTATTAACGAGTGCACCCATTAGGAAAACTCTATTGATATTTCAATTGACGACATTACATAGACTATTTTTCGTTAATTTTCCACTTTATATAAAACTATAAGAGCGGTGAAGTGGATATTTTGAAATGTTAGGAGGTCATGTGACAATTGACGAAATCATGGGAGGGTTATATGTAATTTAACCAAGTCTTAAAGTGGATTGAGTACTATATAAACTGGGAAATAAATCCCTATAGCAATAGTGAACAACTACTAAACCAAATACAAAAAAATAAGTCTAATATTAACTTATCTAAAACAAAACTAAAAATATACCAATTTAACTAATAACACTAACTAATAAATACACCTAGGGAAAAGGTATAACAATTAGAAGCGGAATCTCTATCTATTGATAATTTTTCTTAGGGATAATTTCAAAAACGTCCTCCGAGGTTTCTGACTATTTTACTAACCTCTTTTCAAGTTTCAAAAATTATACTAACCTCCCTTGGGGTTGAATTTTTATGTAACATTTAGGTCCAATCAATAATTAAAAAGCGATATTAGGAGAGAGAAAATAATATAATTTCATCATTGTCCATCATCTACTATATTATTTAATTAATTTAATACCAACCCACACATTAAAGAAAAATGCAAAAATTTGTTGTTTATGATTAGGGATCAAATCACATATAATATCAAAAAATAGTATATCATTTTGTATTTTTCACTTAATACAAGATCCAAATTACTTTTTTCAGTTACATATTTATTATCAAACATGATCAACAATAAATAATTAAAAAATTTGCAATCAAAATATTATAGAGAGCAAACTATAACATAATAAATATTCTTATCAACATATTAAGATTAGTTGTTAAAATTTTTATTATATTAAAGTTCGCTCTTTGTAATTTTTTGATTATAAATATTTTTGATTATCTGTTATTGATCATGTTTGATAATAGATTTGTAACTGAAAAGAGCAATTTAGACATTACATTAAGTGAAATATATAGAATGATATACTATTTTTAATGCCATATGTGATTTAATCCTTGATGATAAATAGCAAATTCTAAATTTTTTTTAATGTTTGAACTGATATTACATTAATTAAACCATTTAGTAGATAAGGGACAATGATGAAATCATATCTTATCTTGTCTCTCCTAATATTATCTTTTTAATTGTTGGATGGGATTAGATGTTTCAAGATAATAAAATTTAAGAAAAGTTACTGTAATTTTTAAAACTTAAAATAGGCCAGTGAAATTGTCCCTGAGGTTTCGGAAATTATCACTTTTTCTTCACCAGGTGGTTACGGAGTCTGAACTGAGACGGCAACCGGGGCAACGTTCATTCTTCAGCATCCACTTTTGGTTATGGAGTATGAACTGAGACGGCTACGGGGGCAATATTCATTCTTCAGCATTCACTCTTATATGATGTTCGCGCTGTTGATTGTTTTGCTTCGGAGCAGCTGAGACCTTTAATTGCCTTAAATTGCCTTTTTCTTGGGACTCGTGCTGCTTTCCTTATCGGCTGTCAATTCGCAACTTTCCGACACCTACTCCCACCCTTTGAGTCACTCATGACTGCTTGAGTCATTCACGTCTTATATCTACAGACCAGCACGCCATTCAGTTTCCATTCCTACAACATTTTTATGCCATTGATCCATGCATAGGCGGATTTCTGTGATCCCATCAGATTCTGATTCTGAGATGGTTTCCTTTTCTCGAGTTGTACATTTGATAACCAACTGCTAGTGGCTGAAGTGCTCAAAGATTCCCTGTTCTCTTCCAAGACAGAAATTTGAGCAACGGTTCCAGAGATTGGAACTCTTTCTGTATAGTAATAATACTCCATAAGAGTAGAGGAAGAGGAAAGAGAAAGCGAGATGGCTGGGCAGGGGTCGTCGTGGAATTCAACTCCGCTGCAAGTGTTGCATGATGTTCTGGGATGGATTGCGTTTGCGTCGTGGTCTATCAGCTTCTATCCCCAAGTCATCTTGAACTTCCGCCGTAAAAGGTTTTTTTTTCCCCCACAATACCATTTTTAGCTTTTCGCTTTCCTCTCGTTCAATATTCAGCCTTTCATGGTTCATCGTGAGAGTACTAATTAATAGTTTTTCTTCTCGGGGGGCCGTCCGCTTAAAAAAACCACTATTTTGGCTGGCGGCGGTGTGCAGCGTTGTGGGCTTGAATTTTGATTTCGTGGTGTTGAATCTCACAAAGCACTCTTCCTATCTCATCTACAACGCTTCCGTCTTCTTCAGTTCTGCCGTTCAACGCCAGTACCACCAAAAATTTGGCTTTGATCAGGTTTATTCTTTCTTTCTGCCTTGTTTTTTCCCCTTCCCCTATTAGCAACGCGTATATCCAAAGGTGGATGTCTGCTGGACTCATGAATACCCTTGCTTCAATTAGAATGTATTTCAGTTTTAAGCATTATGATTACGTGCTTCTTCTGATCATTAATTAACTTTTAAAGGATAATTGTTGTCAAATCTTGATAAATAAGCCAAAGAGATCAATGCTCTGAACTAATCGAATGTTATCCTAGTCCTGGGCTAATCCTCTTCTTTTGGAGGGTAAATTTGATTTATTTGGTCTGCTGGTTCCCGTCACCAACAGCTATATGCAGCGTGAGCTTTTTTAAGTAATTTGTACTAGTGCTCTGCTTTCTTTCCTTGTGCGAGGTTGAATCAGTACATTGACAAGTGGATGGAGTATTCTCTGAACCTTTACTTGATCTTATTCCTTGATTCGTCTATTGCAGATGATTCCAGTGGCTGCCAATGACGTAGCTTTCTCAATCCATGCGGTTCTGCTAACTGCAATTACCTTATTCCAGATTGCAATCTACGAGGTAACTATTTAAATCCTTCTTTGATGCTTCCTGCATGTCTTAAAAGATAACTGAAAACAGGAAAATTTGCGTGTAATTTTCTAAAAGAGTGTTTGCGCGTACTTCATAACACTGTTCTCAGGAACAATGTTTGTAACTTAGATTGCCAATGATTACTCGCATCAATTCCTATAGCTGTCACTTAACTCTACACCCCCCGGTTCCCCAAATTCTGTTCTTTTCCAGCGTGGACATCAAAAGATTTCTAGAACTGCAACCGCGATTGTCATAGTAGCTTGGTTAGCTGCAGCGGTCTGTGTTTTTGTAGCAGTTCCTCACCACAAGTGGCTTTGGCTGGTGTCATGCTTCAAGTAAGATGCGTTGTTTTACTCCATTCTTGTACATCTTCTCTTGTTAACTCGAACGAAGTCAATGTTGCTGGCTCCACTTCTTGTTAAAAGTGTTGAAAATCTTGCTGAACGTGTTTTGCGTAGCTATGGAGGAATGGTCTGTTGATGAAGCCCTCATTCATCTCTGATCATTGTGAACTGATACTTCTGTTTTGGGCTATTATTTTTGGTTAAAAAGATTACCTTTTAATGGTGCTACCATGATTGTGGCGACCTTTTTACCTTTTCTTTCTACTGTATATGCAGCACAGTGCAAGTTGTCATGACAGTCATCAAATACATTCCTCAGGTTATTCCTATGGCTGGCTATCTTTGGAATTGTCCAATATTAACTACATATACTTTCGCTTAGGTTAGGATTTAGTGAAACTGCATCCGTTCTTTAATACACCAAGCGTATTGGGTGCCTTTGATGCATTTCAGTTTCTGAAGGATGTCTTTTTTTCTTTTTTCTCATGGGTGACTTGCTGTGTAACTTAGGCTGTTATGAATTTCAAAAGGAAGAGCACCATTGGATGGAGCATCGGCAACATTTTGCTTGATTTGCTTGGTGGTGTGACCAACTATGCACAAATGGCTGTGCAATCCATTGATCAAAGTAAGATTCATGAATGGGATAATTTGGATCTTTTTTTTGGTTGGGGGTTGGGGGGGGGGGTTACTTAGAAGATTGTAATGCAATGCCTAACCATATTTCATCCATGTTTCTGTTAGAATCCTGGGTGAACTTCTATGGAAACATAGGCAAGACTCTGCTGTCCTTGGTATGGACTTTTTCTATCTGATAATTCTGAGCTTCATCATAATTCTTTTATTGTTTTATCGACCTTCCTTCAAGCTTCAACAACCCACGGCCTTCCTTCAGAAAGATGAAATCTTGTGCTGGCATGAAGATAACCAGCTTCCCGTTTCATAATAACGACTGAACTGTTTTTCACTTTGACGTTGAGTCCCAGAAGACAAAAAACTTATGATCAGCATTTCTCTTTGTTCCGTTAACTCCTGCGGTCAGCAATTACGCAAGAAAATTGTGATAAAAATGGAATACGCACAGATTCGACCTTGTTTAAAACAGTAAATGTGTTTGTTTGATTTACTAAATATGCATAAAACAAATTGCTTCGGTGCTAAAAGAAAGAAGATTTCGTCCCTCATAATGTCATTTGTACTTGAATCTTACTAATTATATTTCTTTTGGTCTGCTGGAATTAACCATGCAGGTGTCCATTTTCTTTGACATTCTCTTCATCCTGCAACACTATGTGCTCTACCCATCCAAGGAGAAGGCTTTACCTCCTAAGCTTGATGCGGTAAGCAAGGAGCGAATACTTAAATCCTCTGAAAACGCACATTCTGACAATGTACGACACAAATTCATTTTCGAACACTCTTCAGGTGTAAAACGGGTTTCGTATCTTGACGTTGTTAAATTCGACTAATATCTATTCCTCTTGAGATTTAATTAAATTCATGTAGAGGTCGATGGAAACAGAGGATTTGTTAAGAATCTAAATTATTTCACTCGCTGAAATGCAGTGAAAAGTCTATTACCTGATAAAATTTTCAGAATTTGTTGAGAAAAGTCTATTATCTGATATATTCTGTGGTCCTGATTGTAGGTACCCTCCACTTCCAGCACTAGGGATGTTGAAGAAGGCTGATGGAAGCTATGAGACGCTTGTTAGGGAGAGATGCAGTCTGGCCTCTAACCAATATGATCAACTTGTTAAGCATTAGACTAGCCTATGTTATTTTGTTGCCAGAAAATGTGAAAGACATCATACATATTTAGCATTAGAAAAATATGTTTTATATATATATATATATATATATGTAGTCAAAAGATATTTACAGTTAGAGGGCAATTACCATTAAGTCATCTCTAGTTTAGCATTCAAGCTAAAGGCGGGGAACATTGTTTCCATACAACACCATATATCATGAAGTCGAGGAGGACCCTAGCAGAGGGCTACACTACAGGACGTTTACTTAGATCGGCTCTACCCAAACTTTTCTGGTTCAAAAAAGACTCTCTTTCTAAAGGAGGAGGGAGCATGAATAATAGGATTTCATCTATAGGGTAGGTGTTGGGACAGGAAGCGTTGGCACCAATGATAGCATAACTGGTTCAAAGTGCGGTGGGTAGCAAGAATGAGGGATTGGAGGTCTAGCTTTCTCTTTTGCTTGTGACTGGGCGGCCCCCTTATTCTTACTGCGAGCAGCTTTGTTCGGAATGACTATGACCGGGCACGATGAGTACGAGTAAAAGAGCAGGAGTCTGTTTGATCCCTTAAACTGCTGCTGAGTTCATCCAAAGCTGCCAGAGAAAGATGGCTGTGAGCACAATGCTCTTTCCCACTTGGCCTTGAGGCTGCTAGTTTGGAGTATCTCACCACCTCCAGAAGTCCCATTGCTCTTCCTTCAGCCCGTCCCACTGCACCTTAAATAGTGTTTGTGCTATTTAAACAGCTGTGTATCACTTGCCTTTTAATATGCATTTTAGTAGTTAATTATGCTTGTGTACATAGCTTCTAGTTTTCATGCTAGTTGCTTCAGCTAACTTAAAGGTTTAAACTTCAATTCCAAAATTATTAGGATGCCATATACAGGTTGAGAATATGGTGGGCAGTGGCTGTGCCTTGCACAGCTAGCCTTGCCTTCTAAAATTAACTTGTACAAAAAATATTTAAAATATCTTTAAATAATATACACAGTGTATATACTAGCATCGTTGGATTCATGACGTGTGCAAATGTTGAATTTTACATTTAAATTTTACATAATTGTTATTTATTCAATGTCAATGTAAGAAATATAAATTTAAAGTGTTTCACAATCATGGATATCTTATCTCAGTATGACAAGCACTCTTAGCGCGCGAGTCTGCAATTTTAGAATAATTAGTGAATTATATCAAAATATTCATCCGATCACACCAAGAAAACCAAACCCCTAATTTCCTTTTAGCAGCAGCCAACATGAAAACCAATACAGGGTTTTCATCCCTCATCTTCTTCACCATTTTTACTATGATACTCATCCCAATTTTCCTCTCAATTTCCCGCTGCCATCAGACTACCAAATCTTGAAGGCTATGATGGATTGGTGCGTGGATGTCTATGCTAATTTTTCCTAAAATCCATCTCCAATTTACCAGGAAGATGAAGGTGGGGCGCTCAAGCTTGATATATACCGGTGGAACAAGTTTTTCAATGTGGTAAGTAGGTCATGCTCCGAGAATGGCAGATTGACTCCGGATTATCCAAAAGATGAGGTCCTCAATGAAGTACCACCTATAATTCCCATGATTGAAGATATTGGGCGGAGAGCATTGTGGGACAAGGGAAATTGCATCTAAAAGTCAGGAGGATCCCAGAGTCTTGAAGCCAATGATGGAAAACTGTGTGAAGCTCTACTTAGATAATGCTAATGGTAGTGCTGACTCGGAGAAGCATAATCTCGATCTTGATTGTACCATCTATAGTTCCCATGATTGAAGACATTGGCGAAGAACATTGTGGGACAAGGGAAATTGCATCTAAAAGTCAGGAGGATCCCAGAGTCTTGAAGCCAATGATGGAAAACTGTGTGAAGGTCTACTTAGATAATGCTGATAGTAGTGCTGATTCAGAGAAGCATAATCCCGATCTTGATTTCTGCAGCAGTTTCTTCCTCGACTTGGGATTTTATTATGCCGAAAACCAGAAACCATTAGCACCTGAATCTGTTGCTGTCTTGAAAGAACATCGCAGGCTGTACGATCTCAACCTGCCGATTGTATGCGCACCAAGCTTAACCTTTTATCCTGTGCCCTAAGGGCACAAAATAGATTAACCCAACTTTGAAAATCACAGTTAAAATCTCTACTATGATTTCTAATTTTATATGAAGCAAGTAGAGTCATCAATGTTACTTTATCATCATAACAAAAATGTCTATAATTCCGCACCCATTTTTTTCTGACCCATGATCTTTGACATGGTAAGTTCTTTCTTTTTAACCGTATTAGAGCTCTCATTAAGATCAAACAAAGGGATAACCCCACAAGTACTGAAAGTTTTTGTCAAAAGAAACAGGTCCACGAGGACCACTACCTACACTGGCTTACCAAATTAATACTACATCAAAACTGAAACGCAAACTACATCAAACTCAGAGAAAAGATCTTTTGTCCTAGACTTCAACTAATACTAATCTCCCAGTTTCTCCTTGATCTTTCAACTTTACAAACACTAACAAGGGAGCATTTAACATCATAATGATTCTTTGCACCAGTACAGAGCATAATAAGCTCCTTAAAAAGAACATAGATATGTGTGCATATACATATATGTATATTGAAATAATCACACATGCACAAGGTCTGCTTAAAACACTAGCCATATATGTAGCGGAGTCACTTTTTTAACTACAAATGTTACGCATGTAGCAAACCAGAAAATGGTACAGATTGCTCAGAGAAAATATGACAGGAAAGCAGCATCCTCCCACAATGTTTTTAAGGTAGTTTTACAACTATCCGTCACTTGCTTAGACATTAAATAGAACTAATTCCCAAATTAACTTCTGCAGAATGTTTTCTTAGGATATATTTACATATATAGCATGGTTTCCATTTAAGCATATAGTTAAAAGTGTTTCAAAATCATTAATGTATACAGTACGAGAGCCAAACAAAGAGCGTTATGCAAAGTCATACAACTTCAGAAAAACAAATTTTGGTGGTCATGGAAGTTGTTAATTGACATGGGGACTAATTTTTTGTTAGGAAAGCTTGTTGAGGCTGTTGTTGACAAAAGAGAAAAAAATTGTGTTAACCCAAAAGCTAATCATACTGCAATCATGCAATGTAGTAGCTATGCACGCTCATTATTTAAGCTGTAATGATAGTAATACTCTATAACAAAATTATGCAAATGGTAAATGCTAAAAAGCTGAAAATGTATCATTTTAGTGACAATTTCTGTCAAAGGGTGTTATTACAGATAAAAGCAAAGTCGAAAAAGAAAAAAGGAAAAGGAAAATGACCGAATTTGTCCATCCATATCCCCAAATTTTTTTTTCATTTCTTACATTTGAAATGAAAAAATATCTTTTTTTTTTCATCACAACACAAAAAACTTTTTTCATCTCTCATATTTGAAATGCAAAAGAATTTCTCAAATTTCAAAAATTATGCAATTGTGTCCAAAACCAACTCTGATGGATTTTGTAGTCGCCAATTACATTCGCTCTTCATATGCAAATAATTTCAAGGGTAAAATGGAAAGAATAAAGTTTTTCAATCAAATTAATATCACATGATGCTTGAGCTCCTACCACCATTGTTTCGAAAACCGGACCAGACTGGACAAGCTGGTTCAACCAATCAGACCGCGAACCAGCCATAGGTCCGGTCCGGTTCATATCTCAGGTTTACTGGACTTAAAAATCGATAAGAACTGTTTGAACCATACGAATTGTGTGAATCGGATTGAATCGTTGAACCGGCGATTTTTGTTTTTGTTTTTTTGTCTACTAAATTGAAAAAAAATATATATATATATATATAAAGAATAGATTTTCCTTAACCCTAAAGGCTAATTATTAAATGCTACATCCACTTACTTTCTTCTTATTTTTTGTCTCTTATCAAGTTTGCATCTCTATTTCTATTTTCCTGACTTCCTCTAAACTCCAAACTTTTTTGTTAAAGTTACAATCTCTAAATCCCAAAAATGTGAATTAAAAATTTAAACTCACAATGTCTAATTCCCATGGACGTGAATTTTGTATAATTTTAGAATATTGTGGTATTTTTGGATTGGATTTAAGATTATTTTTTTGGTAGATACAATTGAGACTGAGATGAAATTTATTTGTTGCAACTTACAATTTAAAACTTTTATTTGTGAAAATCCAAGTTCTTTGAAAATATTGAGCTTTTTATCATATAAAGACTTAAATTAGTCCATTGCATGTCTTATTTTGTACATATATATATATTTATATAAATTATTTTTTAAAAAATTCATTGAACCAGATTTGAACCAGTTTGATCGATTAAACCTCGACTCAAACACCTTGCTGGTTCAATTAACAGTCCGAGTTTCAAAACATTGCCTGCCACTACCTACCCAAAAACCTTCTCCAATTACTTTCTGAACTCCTCCAACGACCGCCACCTTCATATGCACCACATCTTCTCTAGCACCTCTTCCGAATCATCCACCATCATACCACCAAATCCCTATCCCTTCGCCACCCCTCCCATTCCTCCCACCTCACCAGCTCCCTCTTCCCCCGATCATTCATTCTCTGCCACTATCATAATTTGTCCATCTAATATCCCTCAATATCTGGTAACAGTATGTAAAAGATAATTAGTTGAGTATGTACAATGGAGAGTAACCCTAAACGTATGCATACATCAAAACCATTACTGCAAGTATATAGGTTGTAAATGAGACAACGAGTATTCAAGTGTCAATCTTATAGGAAAAATTGATTAATTATTGATGCTATTTGAATTTCTTTATTATTTAGACGATTACAAGTGCAAATAAAGTAAACTACACTACAAACACGTAATAAAGGAACTAAAAAGAACAATAAATGGCTCCTAGGGTTGGTTTTCTCTCTACCCTTGTAAGTTAAATGATCCAGTTATCATGTTCTATTTCTTTGGCTAAACTATGGCATAATTTCCTAATATATATGAAATCCGTTTTCGCCAATGAATCAACTATATTTATAACTATTCCATACCTACAAAGGTGCCATTCTACTTTTGCGAGTGAACTCTCTTAGTGTCATGCTTTTACAAGCTAACATTGAATAATAACTTTTGGTTCATCATCCAACACCTTGAGATGGTTTACAATTAGTGGCCAATTAATTGCAAACATGAAAACCAAAAGCATGAAATAGCTGGAAAACTGATAAACACAACAACCAAGTTCATATCAACCAACAAAGAAGAGTTTAAACCAAACCATAGGCATAAAACTTAACACAACATAATAGAAATTAAAGAAAGCTCTGAACTTGTATCATAACTAGCAATAGAATTAAATACAAGAGTTAAAAGTTTTAGGAAAGATATCACCCCTCACATGGGTTCAAACCTTCCATCTTCAACCTTAATCTTCATTCAAGTAAGCTAAACACAAATATTGGATGAACTAACTAACCTTTCCTACATTAATCTACCCTAAACTAATTAACTTACTAGGAATCTCTAGTTGAATCTACATTTTTGGTGATGTTTTTCTCCTCTCTTTCAGTTACAAATTTCATCCATGGAGTCATTTTTTATCGGGAAGAGGAAAAAGAGATAATAATTGAGCAAGTTGTGCAAGTTGGCAAGTTGCAGTAGCCCAGAATTTGTGGACGGATTGTAAAGAATCCATGGATGGATTGCTTGCTCTATTTTTCATCTCTAAGGTGACCTTGAATCCGAGGATAGAATCAATTCATGCACATCAGAATTCGTTTGTGGATTCTCCTTACTCTGCTCAGGATCCTGTTTTGCTTATGCCAGTGATTTGATATGCAAATATCTCAATGAAAGAGGCCAAATCAGCTCTTATGCAAAACACAAAAGTAGTAGCCTATTGAATTACCTTTCCAATGTGCTAAGAATCAAGTCATTTGGGGTTACAGGTGCTGTGTTATGACAAAACACCCTTGACTTGTTAGAAGATAAAA